AAAACAGACTCTAATGAAAATAATGTTATCGCAGTTTTTCAAACAGCATTTTGAAAGTTGCTATTAACAGTATAAATGTTTCTTTATAAAAGAAAGATAATGCTTCAAAGAAAAGACCGGACAAATGAATAGCTGAGATCAACAAAGAAGGGAGTCCTTTGACATGGGAACGCGCATATGATGATGATTCTCACGAATGAATAAAAAATTTGATTGGTGATATACTCAGCCATTTTTATTTACTCGGGAACTTAAAGAAGATGATATGCTTTTTAAAATTCAAACAGCATTCCTCGGATGAATTATAATACCAAAGCTATACATTTGAGGTAGCATAAAGGTTAGCAAACTCTTGGAATCGGACAACACAGAAAATCACAGAGCGGTCATTCAGTGGAAGTAGCCTGATAAAACGTGGATTCGTCGGTCAATAGCATCGACTATAACTTTATTTTCTTTGTCAAGACATAAAAAATGGTAAAACTTAGAATTTTCCTTTTAAATATACTATAACTGGAGAAGGAAAAGTGGAAAATGGAAATCATATTTGTGAACTGAGGTATTGTCCAAGATATCTGTAGTAAAATATTCAGCCTGATCGACTGAAGTTCAATAGGGTAGTAATGTACACCAATTATTATCAGTGTTTTGAGCATAACAGATAGCATCAAACACGGCATTTGCGGCAATACTCATATATGCATGAGAAACCAATGGGCAATTTCTCTAAATTTTAAATACATAAGTGTAACTTTTGTAAAGGACGTGGGCCATGAACGCGGTTTTCTCGCCCACAAATTTTTCGGCTTTTTTGCACTGGAACGGTGTCAGGGCATGCGTAGGAACATTTCCTGACACTTAGTTTCGCGACAGCTCTCGATCAGGTTTTTGAGGCCTGTGGTCCCCCTCAGGATTTTTGAAAATTTTTTTCTTTTCATTATCAATTCAAAGCGTCCAGACATATGTAATCGACGATGCTGATCACGAATATCAACATTAGAACGAACAAAATGCCTTTACTTCGGCGAGAGCGTAAAATTACTCGTTTTTTTCAAAATCCCTCAAAATCACATATAATTTTTATTTCTCCAACCACGATCTCCAGGATACTTAGAAAAGCACACCGTTTGACGCAGAATTTTACGCTGCATCCGATCTTGTTATCAGACATAGTTTTGAAAACGTTTCTAAGGCACCATTTTAGAAATACGACCCAAAAAGGGTTTTTCGCCAGTACTAACCAAAAACGGCCCGGATGAAAGTCTTGAACCAACTCGAAAATTTGTCATTAGGTGTAACTTTTCAAGAGCTATCGTTTGATGTCCTTAAAAATGCAAAAAAACGGTGCGACATAGTCAAAATTGAGAATTACTTGAAATTTAATAGAAAAGCCTTGGGGTTTTTGCAGTTTTAGGCGCAAAAACCCTGATATTGTTCAATGATTTTGTTTCCGTTAATGAAGATTGCTTGAACTGTGTTGAGATTGTTGAGTTTTGTTGTTGTTTTGAATACAGTTCACGTAAATCATGGACAAAACTATCCACTTTACTTTTTAAACCACCTTTGATAATAAATTTTACGTCATCTCCATTTTTAACGTCGAAACCAACTTGTTTTCTCAACTCCGCCAAATCTCTAATATCATTATTAAATATTGCA